ACGTTTATCTCGGCCGAATGGTCCCGTTTCGCAGCGCGCGAGACGGAGACGGGCACATCGAGCGGTGACATACAAAAGCGGAGGAGATGAATACGACAACATCCATAAAAGCGCAGATGATGATTTAAGATTGTCTGTTGTCTTTTTCGCCATTTAACGTTTTACGAGGTACTTATTGATGGTTTATGGTCCTTTCCGTTTGATAATCCTTGTATGGTGGAGTGTTTTAATAACTTCCCGTAATGGACTGTTTCCTGACTTATGGGCTACTGGTTTTTTATATCAGGTTTGTCGCATTTTGAATTGTAATTTCGTCGTAAAATTCATCTGATTTTGGTCAATTTTACTAAAAATTTATTTACTTATTCATGCATTTATTACACATGCATTGGTTTCTAATGAGTAACGTTTGATATTGACCCACCTGAATATAACAATCCTGATTCGGCTCTTTGAATCTGCATCATCATAAACTAGCTTCATCAAATCCTCTGTGATTCCAATTGATCCACCAAGGTCAAGACAAGTCAAAGTTCAGCACAGTCTAAAGATGTTTGTGAAGCTTTTTGAGATCTGATGCACTTGCTGCATCACTTGGACCTTTTGGATCTAAAAACATACTTCTTCAGATATTAGCCAGGTGGTACATTTTTACTGTAGATACTAATAAAAATATTGAAATACTTTATTAACCCAAAGGTATACCTTCTACTTTTAACTAGAATAAGAGGCTTATATGTATAAAATCGAGGAGGTGACAGCAATTACATATTGAATATGCATTAATGGAATTATAATCCTGTTAAAATTATAGAAAGATGGCCTCTTTTACAAGAGATTATTATTGGCTCTGTCAGCATTAAAAGCTCCGCCTTTCGTATTCGTGCATTAGACATAATGATGAATGATCCTTCCTAGCAAACGAACCCTCGAGTCTTTCAATTATTTTCACGTGTTTTGAAAATTTCGTAACACCGATTATTACTTTAATTAGCGCTTTAATTCAGATCAAGCAAGTTTATTGGTACACCTGTATTGTTACCCTTCAGTTCATTTAATTAAGCTACTATTAACATTGTAAGTTCTAGCAATTTGTGTATAGGATTATTTTTTATTGTACATAAGTAATTTAATACCTTTAGTTGCTGAATAGTTTAATCATTTTATATTACAAGTAAATTAGATTACTTTTACCTTTTGTTTTTGAGTGAAATATAAAATATTTTTTTGTACTAATTTGAGGTATATAACTGCATATATTGCATCAGGGTGTTCTTTCAATTGCATTTAACAAAAATTAAATATTACTGTTCTCCAACCAGCATTATTAAAGGTAAACTATTATTATTTTAATTAATATTGTAATAAATGAATACAAATCGTTGATAATATATAAAATTTAATAAAAAAAATCTTTAACATAAATCCTTAACTGAATGACTTCTATGAAAAAAAAAACAGAAATAATTAGATGAATATTAAAAAAAAGGTATGTAAATATGTATGAGGAGTTTCAATGCAAAGACATCGTTAAATTTACAGTAATATTTATTTTTACATATAATTTATATATATGGTATATATATAAGTTTAAATCCACAAGACAGAAATCCAGGTATTAAAGTATTTAGACTCAAAATATAATTTGTATAAGATGGTTAAAAATAATGAATTATATTACAATAAGATCATTTACAAAATAAAAACAAAGTTTTCCGAAACGATAGATGTCTGTCAAACTTAGTACCTCTAAATCTAAAATATTACACCACAGCACAAAGAACTAAATCTCTATATTTTTTTATCCATATAGGTACAAATATACAGCATGCCACTGCAAAATCCCTAAAATTTAGAGTATAAATATTCTTTATCATAAACGGTTAATCAATTTAAATAGGAATTTTCTTTAATGTACAAAAATTTATTTACGTATTAAATGAGTATCAATTTATTGGAAAAAGGTAACCCCCGCCTATTTAACTTGCTTAACCCTCAATACATATTTTTCTCATAGTAAAATAATTACGTATACATCTTTTTTGTAGCATGGTTACGTATTTTCGTTACTATATCACTAGCAATTCTGATAAAAAGTTTTAAATATATCGATTGAACTGCCAAATCCAATTTTAGACGTACAAAATATGTTCATTTTTTATATTTGTAATATTTGTTTCCCAAAGTATATATTTAATGTTTAATGTACAATTGGAATTTTAGATCGCTTTTTATTTAGTATTTGAGTCTAATTTTCTTCTAGAATTCAAAGCAGCAATTCCGTAAAATGTTAAAATGAAAGCATTCAATAATAATAATTGTTAATTTATTTTCGGTTGTTAATTTCTTAGATATAATTAATTAAGCAATAAGTGATCGCAAAAAAAATTGTTTAGTTTTATCCTACACCAAATTTAATAAGATATTCTTTGGTTTAAATTATTTTTGAGGTAGGTAGGTACAGAATAGACAAAAAATTATATTTTAATTACTTGTAAAAATCGTGAGGTTATATTCTAATATAGTAATAAAATTGCTTTGATACTGCTTTGTAAAATAATTATATTTCATTAACGATCTGAAATTCCTATATTCACATTTTTCCTCCGTTTCCGTTACTTATTTTGAATGTTACACATCGTACTTAAATCCTACAAAATGGTGTTAACATAATTACGTATGTTGAGTATTAAAAATTACCATCCTACATGGATAACTCTTTACTCTAACTTTGGCATGAAAGTGCGTAATTTTAATAATATCGTATATTTCATATCCTTTTTTTTCTTCCGGATTTATTTACATGTTATTTTATAAAGTACTTTTTTAAACCGAATATACAGAAAAGGACGTATCTACAAGTCAAATAAATAGTCCACAGTGGTCAAAATTCACTGCTCGACTTCGAATATAATTTGTACATATTTTTAATTTATGATAGTTTATCTATCACACATTTCATCTACGAATTATATTCGAATCTTATTTGTGTAGGTAACTCGGGAAATTCGTTTATTATTTGTTGTACAAGTAATCTAAAGTTCATTCGTTCTAAAAAGACAATGACGTCAGTGTTAGTTGTTTCCACGCAGTTCAACATTTCCCTAGTGCCAATGTTAATTCTGCCATTTGTTTAGGGGAATTTTACGACGCGCGGTTGACATGCCTATGCGTTGTCAAAATTCTGCTCTTTATAATAAGTAAATGTCTGTTTAAAAAATCGTACAATATTTAATTAAATTGATACTCGCATGAAGCGATTTATATATCTATTATATAAAGGATTTCAATTACAACCCGGCAACGTCGCAACAGGCTGGCTCGTGACGTCATTGTCTTTTAAGGACGGATAAACTTTATCATAGAGATTTATAGATAATAAAAAAATCATTCCACAAAAACCATGCAAAAGCTATGCAACAAACCTGCTTCAACAAACAAACACTACAATATCGTGTCAAAGATTAAAATGAGAATAAATTTGTCGAGTTGTTAAAATTTCGACCACTGTGCGATTAAGTCGAACCGATTTATCCCACTAAGTTCGATCACTACTTAAAAAAAGTTGCAGATTAATTTTCTAGCTAAAGAATTTTGTTCATTATTGCCACTTGAATAAATAGTTGTATTGTATACTTTATAGAGTAACCGGGATGTTAGTTTCAAAATAGAATATCGCCGAATATCTACATATAATACACAAATAAAGCTACGTTGTCACAGTCTAAACAAAATAAATCAGTACATATTTCGCTCGATTAGGGAGTTTAGGTCGGGTTAAAAACGGGACAAACCTGATTTTTTTATTATTCTAAATCACAGATTCAAATAAAGAATTATAGGGTATATGTTATGTACAATCGTTGCTAAACGGTTAAACAATAAACGGCTTTAAAAAAAGTTATATCGCCGAATCAGGTTCGCCCGTTTTATTACACAAATGCTAAACTCCAAAATATCATTTTTCAAATTTATCGAATCCGTTCCAAAATAATCTATTTTAAATTTTCAATCTCTCTTTTACATCTTCAAGCTTTCTTTTTCCCTTTTTCTCACAATAGAGAGTACGACTTTTTTATTTTTTTTATAAAACTTCGTATTCTTATGAAGTCATTGATAAAAATTTTATTCTAAAATATTGAATATTTTCGGCAACTGAAAACTGCTTTGAGTTCTAAAGACTTATTTCTATTCATATATCTGGTTAAAAATCGTAGTCCTCTCCATTATTGAGATGTATATAAACATCTCGTTAATTAATTTGAAATTATTCCAAAACATTTTTTAATTAAATTTCGCTATAGCTGACATGACTTCGTCTTTTAAGAGAGAAATACTTATTTCGATGCTTATTAAAATTAATTAACAGCATGTAAAATGTAAACAAAACAAAACGAATATTCTACCTACAGTAGTAAATTAACAATGTCGAAATTGGACGGAATTTGAAACTAACATAACCCAAATTATCGTAGTACGGTCGTAAATTCGCTTGAGAATTTCTTAGAAACATCTGCATGCTTTTTTTTAACACAAATATAAATTTCTAAGTTTCGCTAATTAGAGGGGCAAGCTAACAGGAATGTAGATTTAGAAGTAAAAGTCGAATTTGCAATAAAAAACATGTCAATTTCGTGTTAGCTTGCGCACAATGTACACACATCTCAGAACAAAATGCTTTTCACTGACCTTCTCCAATTTTTTTCCGGAGCGGAGAACCGTTGGCGCCGAAATTCTGAGTGTCACAATTTCATTTTAAAAATATAGCAAATATTTATACAAAAAATTTAAACCCGGATTAAAGAAGTTTAGTTTAAATTTACGTTTCTTTTCACTAAATGTGTCGGAAGTCCGTCGTGCTTCCGTAAAAAATTGCACGTTGCACTGGCCTCTATAAAGTTCCTACCGGAGTCCGAATTTGAAAAAAAGTTCGCGCAAAATAATAAAATACTATATTATCTACAATATAAATAAATAAACTATAAAAATGGATCTATTATCGCGTATCGAAACTAATATATATTGAATTTAGTTGTACACAATTAAAAATGATTTAATAAGAGGTCATTATGGTTGTATGGGTTCGAAGGGCCTTTTACAAAATGCCGTTTGGTCAAAATTACGAAACACTCGAAAAATAAGAAATAAATAACTTTTGTTTTAATTTCATTAATGGATAATTAACTGACATTTTTTTTAAATTAGGTAGTTTAAATTGTTGAAGAAGTCATTGTGTAAAAGGCCCGATTTTCTAGAGGTTCCAAACAGGCCTTTGGCTGGTAGCGAAAGGCAAATGCAATGACTAAAATATGTATTAAGGTACACGGTTTTAATACGTCTTGGTTCACTGTGGCGATCCTTGGGGGCTGATGTCGTCGCCACCGCCCTCCGACCCTGCTTCTCCTTTGGTCTTGTTCTCCTTTTTCCATTTCATCCGCCTATTTTGGAACCATATTTTTATCTGCCTTTCCGTCAGACAGAGCGCGTGAGCGATTTCTATCCGCCTCCGCCTGGTCAAATACCTATTGAAGTGGAACTCTTTTTCTAACTCCAACGTTTGGTACCTCGTATACGTTTGGCGACCTCGCTTTCGTTCTGCAAAAAACAATAAGAATATTAATACCTACATTAAGAAATTTTAATGTTTGAAATATCACCATGATGAAATGTGCTCTGCATGGGATAATAGAAGAGAAATTTGGTAGGCTCTTGATACCTTCAAAGGTCTAAATAAACCTAGATAAATAGACCTAGACTATGCAATGGTGGTACCTAGATCTAAACATAATACGATGATACTAATTTAATCTTCAAAGCACTGCTTTCTTATCAAATATAAGATAAAAAAATTTTTGAGAACAGCAGGTATTTCTCTACCTTATTTATTCATTTCCACGACATACGTTAGCATTTCCTGCAAGAATTAGAGTAAAAGAAATGTACCAAAATTCCTCCTTTGCGCTCCTAGATGAAATATTTCATAATTTTATTGCAAAGTCAGTTGGAAACGTATAGAGTTTAATGCACCGAAGTGTTGTGTCTGAAAATGAAGAAAATAGGTGCGCAGATTGCCAGGTATGACACTTGATAAATCGGTTCATCTGAAATAGGCGTCCCAGTGCAGCAGGCAGAGCGAAAGTATTCACCGAGAATAAAAAGCCAACGTTAATTAAAGAAGCATCGAACTAATCAGAGTTCATGTCTGTGTTGAAATAAATCAAACTCCAGAACAGACTGGGTTAAAATAATTACACGTCTTGTTCGGGGTAGAGCGGCGTTCATCACGGACTGCGCTGCATCCAAATCTAATATCGTTAATTAGATAACGGAAAACCTTTTGGGAATCGACAGAATTTAAAAAGTTTACTTTTAACTTTTATTAATGGCCGCTGCGGATCGGACTTTAATCACAACCGAGACTAGTTCAAAACAAGATACGATTTTCCTGTTTTTTTATTTATTTGTAATTTGATTTTTCGTTCGTTTTCCTTTCTATTCGATTGATTTCAGCACATAAATTTGCCTGTTTATTTTCTTCATTGAAACATTGTGCTACTACTACACTGAAATAAATTTATTCTTTACAAATCAGTTAATTTTTCAGATGATAACTTCTAAATAGTCTTCTAAAAGTTCTAAATAGTCCTAAAAGTGTTAGAAATAAATGTTTTCTGATGTATCCTGGATCATTTCAAATAGTCCTGAATCTATTCTAACAGTTTCAAATAGTCCTGAATCTATTTTAACACATTCTTTGACAGTTCTAAATGGTTTTAAGATCATCATCAACTATTTAAAATAGTTCTGAATGATTCTACAGTGTCCTAAACAATCTAATACCAGGAGCAAGTATACGTTCAATTACAATATCTCTTTATCCCTCTCTTCTACAATTACACCAGTCAGACACTCTCATTCTGTTACATACTAAGATCAAAAAGTATAAAAAATAGAACATTTTTGGTATAATCCGCCTGAAATATTAATTTCGATAATGTTCCTTGACGGAAATAAATTTGTCCGAAAGACACGAGTCTATTTTCTTAATAAGGAAAGAAGAAGGGGGCGAGAGCGGCGGACCAGAAGATCGGGGGAGCCGAGGAGGATGACGAAGATGAATGTTGGTTTCCGTCGTAAACATAGAGACGGAACGGGGAAAAAAACACGGACATGTGTGCGGATAACGCTCGAGAGCACACCGAAATGAAACTCTCTCCCGATGATTCGATTTCCAGTCCCTTTTCGGAAAGCGAACGCCATTTTCCCGCCGATCGCTTTTTTCCACGAAGGGTGAAAAAACAACAATGCCTCGAACGATTCGAAGGAAATTAGTTAACTCGAGGAGGTTGGTAGTTAATAATTCCGAAAAGGTGTTCCTAATAGATCTATTTATTTTTGGAATTTCCGGTTCGGTGCTTGCCATTTAGAACCCACGAAGATTAATTTTTCATTATTAATTATGTTTAAGAAAAATTTTACTGAAGCACATGAGGGATTATAGGTATACAGAGCTGCAGGAATAGTCCATGTTAGGTTTGCAATTATTTCTTTCTTTCTTCACTTATAAGTATAAAAAAATCCTCGATTTCAACAACGTTCCTTCATTCAATAAAAATTAGCCTAGTTTCAAATAAATCAGTATTATTAAAGCGGAAAAAATTCTCTTGTCAAATTTTCGTATCCCGCGTTTCGCTTTGAAGGCTTTCATTATTGAAATTATTACCTGAAGCTCGTCGGCGACTGCCTGGGAGAAAGCAACAAAAAATTACGAGGAAAATAATTATATACATCAGTTTGAAGGGAGGCAAAATCGGCCTTGTGACGCCAATCATAGCGGAGCTTTAGGCGGTCTCAGTCCGAGTCTCGTATAATGAGTTTATAAATGACGCATAAATCATCCGCACTTCGGACTCTTGCGAAATTTCGAAATAGCCACGACAACGTGTAATAATTGGGATTAGTTCGGATGTAAAAGTTGTTCTTGTCAGATACGTACAATGGTGACTAATAATAGATAGAGAAGGAGCCGACCAATAGGACTCACATCCCAAATCCCAATTAGGAACGGTTCAAAAGATACCGAAAAATTCGTCTACATTCCAGGTATAAGAGATATGTTAAAATTCATTTATGATAAAACCTGGTCATACTAGAAACCTTGCAATTTACATTTAATGAAATTTTCATAAATTAAAATCGTATTATACAAAGCTGAATACACGAAGATGATGATTATAGCAACAGCATACCAGCACATCATCATTTTAACTGGTCTCAATTTCAAAAATTACTCCAAACTATAATTACGATTTTCTGTCCTTTGAAGAATCCCTTAGCCTAAACCAATAATCAACTTATTAACGTTAATTGAAGAGATGACGAGTTTAAATGCAAGCAAAAGATAAACTTCATAGAGATTAATGCTTCGCCCTCATGCACAAGTAATTATTAATGGCGTATTCGTTAGATGTAATTATTATATTCCTCAATCGGTGGCAAGTAAAATATAAATACTTTAAACACAGTGTAAATGATCAATTAAAAAATTATGAAACAGTTCCACTATTTTGTTTGTAGAATCTCTTTTCAGAAAAATAACTGACGGGACGGAGAGCTTGTAACTATATGCATATATAATGCCGAACATGTCGCTTGTTTAATTAAATTTAATTAATTTTATTTGCATATTTGTAAATGAAATTTCATGTCGAGTTAGTTGATAGCAAAATTGGCGAATTAAGGAGGCGTTGTTTCGAATATTCATGAAATATTTATGTTTTCGTTCTACACTGATTAATGCCGTTTTGTGTTTTCGTTTTTTTTTTTGCTTTTTGTGCATTAAATATCGATTTGATATTTTCCCTACTTCCTTATAATTAACTGCTCGTATGCAATAATAGCAAGAGGCGTATTGATTAATTGTTATTCGTTTTTGAATACCATTCATTAAACGCCAAATTAGAAATAAATATCTATAAAATAACTAATTTAGAACTTATTATTCGAGATATTCTTGTTGAGAATATTAATTAGTCATATTTTCATTGAAAAGTATATAAGCACATAAATTACAATTTCGGCAAGTCACAACTATTCAACCATTAAAAAATAATGACATAATTAACAATTCAAAAAAGACGAATAGCAACTATTTAATAAATTTAATGCGGCATGTAATTTATGGCGAACTTGGATAGGTTTGAGGAACCGCGAAATAATAGATCGTAATGTCGAAATAATTGACATTAATGTTATGATAATTGACGTAAATGTTATGTCGGTTTGATGGCATTATAAATGCGGCGATTAATGTTATTGTTGAATTTAGTTTCGTGATTATAAATTATTACAATGTGCGAATCGAAACTGTAATTTCATTTCAAACGGAATGCTGGTTGATACTGATGGTTATACGCAGAAAATGAGTTATTACATTAATTTGTAGTTGTAATGGATAATGGATAATTTTGACGATTGCGTTAAAAATATTTTTAACATTTGCAAAGTTAAAGAAAATGACAGGGCTTGTATTATTTTAGGAGAATGTATTTTTATAAACCAGTAATGTGAATAAATTCATGGAAATCAAATAACATTAAATGCCACTATGCATTCTGAATGTGAATAAATTGGCTTTATCAACTTTAATTACGAATTGTCAATAACAATGCTATTAATAAGTCGAAGGTACATTCTAGGAAACAATTCCAGATATATTTTAGCGGATGGACAGATACCGATAAAAAGAAAAATTCAATAAGCTAGACACATGCATCCTGTATGAAACACGAATTCTAAATTGTAATTACCAGTTCTCCTAATCCAGTAAGATATTCGTGTTGCTAATCTTTCTTGAATTAAAATAAAAAAATATTTAAAATAAATAATTAAATTGCGAATTAATAGCTTTGTTTTTAGCCCGAAGATTTCATAAAACCTTTGATTGATAATTAGTCCTTCAACAATCGCAATCGATAAAATAGACTTTTTGCCAAAAAACCTAAAAAAATGATTAGAAAAAATTACTAAAAAAATGAGTCTTAGGATTAAGGGTAAATATTTTAGCAAAACTACAAAGACACAGGTACAATTTAATAACAGGACCTAGTGAAAAGTGTGCGAAAAGTGTCATAATAATTTTAGCAACCCTAAGAGAATGATTAAATAATTTACGGCACTATCAAATCTCATCGCGTCACAATTTATCACCGGAATGCTTATTTAATAGCCTCGACGGTAGTCGGATTTGCACGATGGCGATACGAGCGCATCCTTGCTTCATAAATTCTGCTCAACAAGTAGTCTATATACCGTGGCGGCGGTTATATTGTTATTACCGTGCTTATGGTTGCCAACAGATGTAAATTCCAACTCTATTAGTTTAATCGTCACTTTACAACCGTACTAAACATAATATTAACGCCTTTTCACTTTTGCGGATCATTGGGTTTTTATGATACGAAAAACGTGCGAACGATTTTTCTTACACTCTCGAGATTTTTATTTGATGGAAGTCGTTTAGGATTTTAAATGACCCAAACATTATTTATGAGAGTGTTGTTGTTTAACTAGTGTATCATTTATAACACTTATTTAATCACACATTTAATTACAAATTATTACAGTCTATACCTAACTGACGGTGTTTGTCAAATTTAGGTACGCTCAACATTTTTTACGTTTCGTTATTTTATTTTTTTGGTAAGGACTAAAAGAGATATCAAGCTCGCGCACAAAAGGACGTGACAAAGAATTATGAGTTTTTATTGTGCGTCGACGTACAATTGCATAATCTGCTGAATAATAGGGACCCCTCTAGCTCACACTTTCCCGTTTCCTCTCTCCGTCTTTCCATTTCATTTTACAGTTCGGGATTTATTTATTTCGTTTCGAGGGGCCCCCTACCAGCCAACGAAAATGGGGGAAAGAATGCTGATGGACATGAGAGATTAGTCGGTGGGCCGAATTCGAATTCGAACGCTTCGAAAATTTCCTACAAAATTGTGTAACAAGCTTAGAAGAATATGCAAATGGTCTTATAATTTTAGTAGAGTTATTCCAAATGTAGTTATTTATTTTATTAGAAGCCACAGTAGGTTGTATAAAAGGCACATCGTGCTTATATTTATAAGAAGTTGAAACTTTGTAGTGTTTTGAGATTAGTACTAAATTAATACTTTGTTTCATTGAATATTTAACACAGTACCTTCGCCATTTCTTCGATATCATCATCTAGTTCATCTACGAAAGTTTATCTACAGTTCTCATTTAATTATACCTGTAGGAATAAAGTTTGTGAAAACCGTTAAATTATCAAACAGCAAAAACATGATAGATACATTTCTGAAACTGTCTCCCAGTCTCGCAATCATTAATCATTCGATATTTTTATCCGAAAGCGATTGGTTTTCGGAGCAGCTCATCGACTATGGCGAGGTAGATAACATGGCGGTTCCATTCTCATGTTTTTTGACGGGCCGCATTTGACATGGGTCTGACGCAACTAGAATGGAAACAAGAATTGGGCTGCATTCATCAGATAAGTCACAGTCTGCGGGTCGGAATAGGGCCACCGACAAAACCATCAGTCATGCGAGCCGACAGCATTTCTAATTAGGAACGAACACTTGCTCGAGCGATTGTAATGGTGGACTGGTTTGTTATATTTTTTACGTGGATATACCTACGTGTTAATGTTCGATATCTAACGTAAATTTTATAGATACCTACATGGTTTTTGTAATATTGTGTGGACTATTTACAGGTATATTATAATTCCTTTCGTTTGAATTGGAAGTCGGTAAAGTGAACTATCTAAAATTCGAATGGGTCATTTTGTTTGAAACCTAATTAATCTCGATGTTCTCGAATTGAAAAAATGCAGTCTACTTGTACGAGATCTATTTTATTTAACGAAAATAAGCAATGTGTGTAATGTTAGAAGCTAATTTAAAATCGTTTAGCATGTTAAAAACATAAATAGTAAGTACGTACCAATAATTCACTACGCTGAAGTGGGTTGAGAATCTTATTTGATAAAAAGAACAAACTCGTTCGTTGAGAGAAATTCAATGATATAATTAACACGAAATAAACAAAGGAACATTCAAAAAATTGTGTAAATGTCTATTGCAGCAAATTATTACTACACTTAACGAAAACCGGACCTAAACTGATAATTTTAGGTAAACTTACCGAAGACCTTACTGTACTCGTATACATAGAAAACCGTAACAAATCATTCATAAACTACTTTGGGTATTTTATTACTTCCATGAATTGGAGCGTGACAATTTTAAACACCTGATTATTTGATGTATCTACTACATTTCTACTATCATCTATCAACCATGTAGTAGGTATAAAATAGGTATATTATTATGTCCTAAGACATATTATGTTAAATTACATCGATGAAAATGACAAATGACAGGATTCTTTACAGTTTCGTTTTAAAACCTATCTAACCAGACCGCCCGTTGAGGGACAGTTTAAGTTAAAATTGAGCCATCGAGGGTTGTTATGCAAAATTTTACTACCGGTTTCAAAGACCGTGATAAATTTGGCCGCAGACAATAAATGTCAACTTCTTGGATTTCCAAGGACGATAACCCAATAAGTAAATCACCTTTACTATTCTGCGTATTACCTTGAGCAGCGTAAAAATGTGCTAAAATAGTTCTGAAGATTGAGGTTTGATATTGAGCAGAGTGAGCAGGAAAATATTTGATAGAAGAGATATGTAGGTATCTATCTAATGATTCTACTTTAATCAGATCAGTTTGCTTGAAACTTACCAAATTGACTCCTCATCCAAGGATATAAGGGACTAGGTAACGCAGAAGCCGTATTAGTGGGAGGCTGCTGACCGGGTTGGGGCTGCTGTTGCAGCGCAGGTTGATGCTGGGGATTCTGGTGCATATTGGCGGCCGGCTGGGCGCCGTACATCATATGCTGCTGCTGTTGGGGATGGTGCGTCGGCTGATGGTGTTGGGGATGTTGCTCCTGCATGTGATGACCCATATGATGGGTGTTCATGCTTTGCGCACTATCTAAAGGGGGGCTTCCGGTGGGGCCTAACACCCCGTTCTGTGTCACCGATGCCGCTTGCAATTTACAACTAGCATACACAACCGGCGTTTGATGGCCGTTCGGAGGTCCGGTCGTCGCCATGTGCATATTCGTCGGACTTTCCGGTCTATATTGGCCGTCCATTTGTTGTTGCGCGTTGTAATAACCCGCGTTTCTAATGTCCATCCGATCGTAAGGAGGAAACCTGGGATAGGGCATCCCTTGGGGCGGCTGGCCGGCGGCCGGCGGACCGCCATAATGGTGCGGGGGTATTCCCTGTCGCAGGCCCACCACGGAAGGATCACCCGAGCAAGAGTTCGGATCTCCTTGTACAGGTCCTCCGCCTTGGGCCACTTGCACCGCCGCTCCGTAATGCTGATGTTGATGCTCAGCCGATACGACACCACCATTTCTCATGTCCGGCATATAATTGGTAAAGTAAGAACTCATGCTAATTTGTTTTAATCACAGCAATTATTATACACCGAGTTGGCTTACACTACGATCACATTAATCACTAGAGCTGCATTCTTTCATCTCCACTACCGATTCGCACTAAAAATTAATTTATTTAAACACTTAATTTCACTGTGTCCTGCCCTGTGTCCCCCGTTTTAGCTCTTCATCCGACAAACAAAAGAAGTCTCATGTATTCCTGCAACAAAACATAGAAAGCGTTACTACATACATGTCGAACATCGCTTAAATCGGTTAATATAAACAAATTGAGGCTGATTTACATCGCGCTATTTATTCGCGTATTTGCTATCAGTAGTAAACAATGCCATTCGAGAGTCAAATGGCAAATGAAAACGTTTGTGTAAGTTTTAAACCAAGAAAATGAGTGACATGTGTAAAGCCAGACATTTCATCATTAAGTTTCACGCATCATATACACATGTGGTCGCGGAATGCAATCATTGCTCCTAGTTAGCCATGCTCCTTTCCCATTTTTGACAAAACTCGGAATTTCCCGGAAGGTTCGATTGTGATCAAACAGGATGAGGTATTCAAAAAATGTCCAACAATTCAAAAAACTAATTATCATTGTCACTATACAATGTCAGTAATTATGTTAAGGCTTTAATTAATTGCATTTTATTTGTATTGAAACAAGAGTTATGAAAGAAGCACTTACAAAATGTAAAAGGTGTAACACAAACAAAGAAATATTTGAATAAGCTTTAGGTATAGTTACAAAATACTGAATTAATTTTCCCAAAACGAATAAACCTTTAAAACGTTATCAACCTATATTCTAATAATATTTTTTTTTAAAGTGCTAAATAGTTCCTTTTTGTTAAGTCCATGTGATTTAATAAAATTAGCAAATTGGCAATTATTCAATGTTTAAAAAAATATATTTCACAGCTCTACACGTTCCACGATTTACATGATAATCAAATACAATGAGCTTCACATCATTACCATAATTTACCTCTAATTAGTTTTTATCGAAAACGGAATCGGTAAAATGATTACGATCGTTACACATTGACGAATTCACAAATTCTGACATAATTCGCGTTTAATTAGTTTTTTCCTTAGAATGAAAAAGGCCAGGCAACTTATTATTTAAATTTTAGGTGCAAGGTAATCCTCTCATAAAATAAAAAATAAATTAAATTCCAAGATGAAGTTTTTAATTTTTGTTGGCTTTAAATTACCAAATTTCATGATGTAAGGTAAAAAATTAAATGTGACTTCTAGTCTCTTTAATGATAAATTTATGTTATATTGAACTGATCGATGATAAATTATTATAATAATAAATAATTTCCTAATAGATACTTATACGGTTTTTCTTAACATTTCTTGTTTAACTTAGGTATACCCGTATAGGCATCCATAATAAATTTTAATCTGCCTTTTTATCAGTATTTTAATGTAGGTAGATACTGCCTAATGAATATGGTAATAGCAAAATTAATTCAACATCAGCTTAATTAAAAATAAAAAAAAAACACTAAATTATTAGTCCTTTACACTTGATAGCAATAACACTTGTTATACGAGCTGCAAAAACAAGGAATATCCGCGCCAACTGTGACATATTAAAATTGACAATAAATTTCTCATTATACCATCCGAAGAAGTAAGAATTATCGTTAATTGGGCCAATTAAAATTCCCGCAGCCACGGCTCATTATATCAACCGGTGCAAAAAACGCGTGTGGCTGTTTTCTGAAAGGCGGGCGCTCAGGTAACGCAGACACAACACAATGAGCGTAATTGCAACGAGGAAATTGCGTTACTTTATGCAATTACTTTCGATTTAATTGATATAATTTGTTGCAATTACAGTCAGGCGAAAAAACTCCTGTAAATGATTAGGCGTGCAGGGAATTTTTTATGCTATACAAGGAAAAGTGGTGAATTAATGAATTCGGACAAAATTTACAATTTAATACAAATTTAAATTATTTTATGTGTACAAAGTTACATAGTAACATACCTACTACAGTTATTTTTTCAACCAAATAGAAAATAAATAGTATGGCAGTGGTGTATTAAATACTTCAAAACAACTAATTATTTTGTTCGATATTTTCTTTTGTTTTACTGTCGCTTAATGTAATTTTAATTAGAATAGCTTAGATAAAGTAATTGCACAACGTATCGCAATTAGAAGATCTTTATCACATAATTGTATACAATTCTATTCTAAAAAATGAATAAAGAATAAACATGAACAATTTTGAATTCTCTTCTAAGTCTTTTGATGTAGGTTCCTATTTGTTGAACGATAATTATTCTGTTTTGACGAGTACAAAATATTTTCTTGAAAGTGTTATTAATTCAATAAAGAGTGAGCAAACAATAATTGAATATTATCTAGATAATTACATTAACACGGTTCATTGAAGTCTCCATTGAAACTTTAATTTATAGGCAATAAATATCTATATAACGTTATGTGATAATTGGGAAATGAATTTAAATCCGTTGCTAAATAATTATAACTTTATATTAATTAATTCAATTAACTGGTAATGTTTTACAAGTTATAGTATTTCCAATGTTATTTTTACATTCTTTCATTGTAGGTAAATAGAGCATAGTTGTCCAACTAATTCTCTGGTGTTATCTGTTTTAGAACAATCCAAATTATGAAACATCCTCGAACTTCTATGAAAATTTATCTTAGACTATAGTGTAGAGTAAATTCTCCAGAGCTATTCATAGGTCGTTCATTGTAATAGCAATATTTTATCGAGTTCCGTTTAAGGTTGATTTTCGGCGCCTCGTTATTGATTTATGCGGAGAGAAAGCGAAGTTTAGTGAGTTAAGAGACAGTCGAGAGAAAGATAGCGAGAATCAAGGGGTACGCCGAATATTAATTGGCCCAGAGCGGATCCCGCTGCACCCGCTAAAACCGACACATTTACACCTCATACTTCTCACCCTTGCTTCGAGCCCTTTGCATAACCATTCCGTCCAAAAACACCCTGGAGTGTCAACTTCTTTGATTAAATTAAAAGTTTCACCCCTGCAGGGCCTTTGTTACTATTTACATGCAAATCTCATTTCGTCCAATTACCGTCAACGTTTTCGGCTGAATGTTTTTAATAAGCCCGGCGAAAATGGGAAAACAAGAAATGCCGTGTACAACGATATTTTGACCATCAACCGGCAACTGCTTATCCTCTATAGAAAATTTAACACTTTTCGTTTATATTACATATTTTTTTAATTTCCTAAAGGTCCACTCATATTATAATTGCAAAAGTCTTCGTGTCTCTTATTGTCTTGGTCTTTATCCTAACAAAAACAAGCCTGTTGTTTTGCATAAAATAACAATTTAAATCTTGAATTCGAGTGCATTAGATAATAGTACTACATGCATTGTTAGTTCTAAAAAAACCTTATCTTTTAACATGTACTCGTTTTTGCGTAGTTCCTAGAATACCGTTTGTTTTATCAACTAAAAAATCTTAATGTTTACGTAGGTACACCAAAATCTTACAGTCATAATTCTCAGAATGCCTTGTACCGTTGCTCTGTGGAGAGGACAAGCCTTTTTCCTTAGTTTTAGAACCGGATTTATATTTTATAAGCAGAACTAGATGAAGACAAAGCATTCCAACGAAGTGGACTAATAAGCGGTTTTGTTACCACAAACATTATTCGACAGAAAACATTTATAGTTGGGTAGGTATTAAAAAACACCGTGTATAGTCTTTCTAAAGAGTACAACAGTGTTTCATTGAAACAACAAGACATTAGTAACGAGTAATTCAAAGCAGATGACATATAATGCGATTTTCATTTCGCCCTTTAAAATCTTATTTTTCCGCGTACAGTTCCGTAGGACAATATTCGAAATTGCAAACGCGGCACCGCGAAAATAAAAGGAAAACCTCGGTTTTCAAATCCCATTTGCACATATCCAGGCGGTCGCGTTCTCTCCGTTCCTTTCTAATATTCCACCGCGTTACGTACCGACCCATAAATCTGCGACATTAAAAAACAAAGGCGGAAAGTACATCAAAACATGTCGGCGGTAAAAAATGTAGGTTTAGCAAAAAGCAAAAGCTCCGATGGCATGATGGCGGCGTCACGTCGGCTGGTTGCGGTTAACGAATTACATGTGTGCGAGCGCGGAACCTTTTAGCTTGACAAATCGAGTGTCGGAGACGGTGAGGCCCTCGGTCTCGCGTCTCGTGGGTGGATGCAATTACTTTTTCTATCAGGAGAGAGTCTCTTTCCTTTCATAAACATGTACATCGTCGCAGCACATACGTCTTCTCTTAGCCAAAGTTAAGGATCGGACGTTTAATGTTCCCTTTTATTTTCTATAGATATCTACTTCTTTAGGGTTGTTTTTCTCAACCAAACATGAAAATTATTTGTTCCTTAAATGACTGCTTATTCTTGTAAAGAGCATCCAACTTAAAGGCAATGGAATACAATAAATTAACTCCAACAGTCCTTCATTTTGTATCGATTTTTAATAAATATTATACGACTGTGATATTTTTTTTGTGTTTGTATTCATCTAATTTTCCTTATGTTGTCTACTGTTTAAAGCACACAAAGTGCTTTAAATCACAAGAATTTTTTTAACTGCAATTTAAAGATCCCTTTTCACCAAATCATTGTAGCAAAATCGGTGTTTTACCAAAAAAACCCGATGATAACTGATTGAAAAAATATTGTAAAATTCTTTTTTTATTATAAAAATAAAAATTAAATAGTAGAATTACCTATACACCATGGAAATTCAAGACAATTTAATAAAATCATTATACTCCAAATGATAATAAAAAATGAAAGAAATGAAGTAAAATATAATGAGCTTTGTAGCACGAGTTTTAAATCTGGCGCCAAATTCTCGGCACGATCCGCCTCACCTATCGGTTAATAGCCAAAGTTTTTTCGAGTAAGCACCCGTCGACGCACCGAAGCCGGTAAAACAGTTCACTTGTCAACGACTCCGGCTGTAAATTATCGGATTCTCGAACCTGTTGGAAACTTTCCTCCCAAATAGATTTCTTTATTGGCCCCGCGGTCGCGGGCGCGGACCGGAAAAAGGTTTGATTTGTTTCGCGCACGCATCGATTTCCCGGCTTCGTCGGTTCGCTTGGAAAATATGGGAAATCGCTTAACGTTGAAAAAGTACGGGAAAATTTTGAAATCTAGAATGCTTATGAA